TCGTGGAGTCATCGGGAGTTGTTGGAGAAATGGTACTTTTGGAGATCGTGTCGCCATGATGGAAAGCTAACTTCTGATTAAATCTTACCCAGGCAAGTCCCGATGTATAACCCCTACTTTTCTGCACTTTAAACTATATTTGTGCATTAAGTTTTAAGGAGTTGAATGAAACCCACTTGCATATATATATCTTTATCCTATGAGTCTTACTAGTATGATAGAATCATGTAGATTGCTATGCTACAGGACTCCGGTTGAAGTCGAGTGATTGCCTCTCACTCGCGAGAGATAGGAAATATATTACTGTATTATTATCACTTGGAAAATATAAATGGTGGAAACAAAAAGTGGTGATCGAGTAGGGATATGGTTTGGGTATTGGTGGGTGTAAAAGGTTGTGTCCTGCGGCCAATGGGGCATAGCTTGGTTACACTATTTTCTCTGCCCGTGTCGGTTAAGGACCGACCATTGCATTGGACTCTAGACAAGTCATAGACTTATTATCCCGAGCACATACTTAGGTATGGGCGCAGGAAAGGCTTGTTACTCTCTTGTCATGGGTTCCGGCTCTTTCCAGACTGACTATCAAGGTGATTTTTGGATAGGAGGTCCTTGCACCGTACTGAGTCCAGGACTCAGGGGCAAGGGCTTAGAGTCCTAGTTTGGATAGGGACCTGGACCCCATGACAGCAGGGTAGTGGGTTGGTCCTACTTATGCCTGGGGTATAAGCAAGGCGTGTGTTTTCGAGGTACCTAGCTGGGCACATTGATTCGCGATATGGTTGTCTACGGTCTAGCACCGTAGTAAGAACTGGAAGATGAAAGATGGTAAAAGGAAATCTAATTGCTTACCACTGCTTGAAAGTAGCACAGGTGCTTACATAGAATGATTAATTAATGAACTAATGCGACTGCTAGTAAAAATCGAATATAAGGACGCACGTTTAGTAATGCTTCCTATAAATACAATAAACCCACCAGTCAGATAGCCTTGCATATCCTTAGAGTCTTTTCTCTTCTCCCGTCGGGTAAGTCTTGCTGAGTACAATTGAGTACTCAGGGTTTTATTTCCCCTATTGCAGGTGACCGGTGGATGCTAGAGCTGACTCTTGTGTGTGGATTCCTCCTGGTGGACTCAGAGAGGATTCCTTTACGTTGTGATCATAGTTTTTATTTATAACTCTCACCAAATATTTTATTTAATGGAAGTTTTATAATCTGTTGTCGTAGTTTATATATCAATATTTTATCGCGTCATAAATAGATGTTTAATTCCCGTTGTAACTCTGTTCACATGTTTATATTCCGCTGTTCAATTAAATTATTCATAACTCTAATAATATGATTACATTCCGATGTTATAACAATAAATATTATACTCTGATATTGTATTAAAAGTGATGTAAGAAATGGTTAAGAATAATGTAAGCTTTATTCTCTCATTTGTGATCCTAATGGAAAAATGTGGATTTTCGGGTTCTCCCTTGGAGTGTGCTCGATGGAACCACGTGATTTGGTGTCCTCCCTTGAGTACTTAGTGTCTAATGGAAGATGAGTACTCCTAGGAGGCATTAGATTAGGCGGTTCTACCACATGCCTCTAGTGGCTTGGGTAGCGTTTTCTGCTTCTTCATTGTGACGTCGTTGGCGATCAGTGTTCCTGGCTTCGCGCTCATGGCGCTGGACACTAGTCTCTCCATCGACAGCAACACGGTCGTGGCTAACCATGAAAAGCTCTCTCCTAAAACCTAGAGGGAAAGATGGACAGCTGTTGGCAGATCCCTCGGAGTACAGCTCAGGACTTTCCTCTAGGATGGTGTGGAGCATTTCATCCAGAAGCTGCCGGATTTGCACCATGTTTACCATTGACGAAGACTGGTCGGTCATAGGGAGGCCGATCTAGTAGAGGTCGTTGATGTAGCTGCGCTTGGTGTGGTCGGCGAAAAGATGGTGCAGGGCATCTCGACAGATCGGATCCGCACCCACCAGCCCAAAAGAATAGGGCCTCGGCATGTTATCTATTGGGGCGGGGAGTGGTCGATGTTTAATGGTACGCCCTTTCGGAGTAGCCGTGGTCACCAAATCTTCATCTTGCCACCTCAGGGTGCTCGGCATTAGTGGCATGGTGACCTTGGAGTGTAGGAACTTCGTCGCTCCCTCTAGATTGATCTAAGACCGAATCCACGAGGAGCTAGCATTCCGCTAAGTGGTCTATGACCCAATCGATGGATGCGATCAGATCATCATTGCTGATGGATCTCCTAACCCAGTGGTGAGGCGCCAAGATCAGAGATGTTGTTGTAGATGTTGGCATAATCGGCGCATGGTGATTCTGCACCGCCTCCACGATTTCCTCGACACCGTCGGCGCCGATGACCTAGGTCATAGATCCGACCATGAAGGTCTGACCTGGCTCGGGAAGGATCATGGAGCTCGGGAAGTGGACCATCTGGCTCGCCATGGAATTAGCACGCACACCCCCTACCTGGCACGCCACTATCGATGAAATATGGTCGACAGTCTACCGAGGGGTATACCCATGGTAGTAGATGAATCAGTGGAGGTACGCGTAATAGGAGCCGGATGGTGACACAAGCGCAGAGACAACGATTTAGACAAGTTTGGGTCGTCTGATCGATGTAATACCCTACGTCATGTGTCTTTGGTGTATTGTATTGTATATGAGATGCCTTCGAGGGGGTCCCTACCCACCTTATATAGTCTAGAGGGTAGGCTTATAGGTCGGTTTATGTCTAGATCTATTCGGCTATATGGTAAGTATTTACAAGGAATATAATATCTATCATACCCGAACAGATCTTCCTTCATCGCCAAGATGTCTTCTGATTGCCTTGCAGTGCACGCCGACTAGAGCCGAGCACCATAGGCCTTGATCTTATGGGTTGGACCACCCCTGGTGGTGCGGCCCATGTGCATTGCCATGGGTACATGGGGTTATACCCCCCACAGATAGGCTCTACAGATTTAGGTGGCCCAAAGCTCACGCTCGTTGGTTTAGTGTATTGATAGATAGGAGTGGAATTCATAATGGAAGCAACCATTTCCCCAGCAACGGCGCTAGAAAAGTTTGTTGGTATATTTAACGCACACAGATAAATCCGCAAGCGCACGGATACCGTTGTAGCTTTCACCCGGAGATATTCCAAGTATCGTATCCACAGGGAAACATGTGAGGTTAACTATGGTCCAACTTAACCCAGAGTAGCAATAAGACTTAAGAAAGTTAGGAGTATAGAGGAGGTCACTAAGGTCTTCTAGTTCTAATATCGATAAGCTATGTCTTCTAGTGTTCAACCTGGGGATATTACTAAGGGAAACACAGACAGAGTATGTTTTCTATAATAACTAAATCTTGCTAGTCCTACAAACGGGAGGTGGACTACAGAGGATTCAACGAGGCTATAAGAGTCACCCTCGCGAGCTACCACTGATCCGGAATGTAGCGTACATCCACGAGTTACTCGAGTCTAAGCACCACGCTTACACTACGAATAATACTTTAACCTAAGGCCAATAGATTAAAGCACTTAAAAGAGACTCGCAAACCAAAAGAACAATATAAACTTGTTACTTACTTAAATCAGAAGTGGATTACCAAAGAAATCTCAGACGCAAGGCTAACTTCCTTCAAGGTACAAGCCATAGAGAGAGCACCGACATGCCCGTATCTCCTCCAAACTCTTCCCTCGCTCTCCATCTCTCTATTTCTAAAGACTAGATCTTATGGAGGTCTAATCTTCTCTTGATAGCTAGCTCTGATCCTCATGAGGAGAATATGAATTAGGGTTTCAGGATCTCTACTGAGGGAGGGGGGTTGGGGCTGGTATATATAGCCCTAAGGGTCCAACGTGAGCTATTGGATCAAACCGACTTAAGCAACGGCTTAGATGTATCCTCAAAGATGGTGGGGAACCGACATATGAAGTAGGCTAATAGGTGGGGCCCATAGGGCTGGGCGGCCCCACCTACAGGCCAGCTGGCCCCACATGGCACTGGGTCGAGCCCCGCTTCAGTGATTTGCCTTCTGGACCCTTCTAGAGTCTTCCCACGTAGGTACCTTGGCGAAATTCCGTAATTTCCTTCGACGATTAGGTCCTCCTTGACGGTTTTCTGGATAAACCCTCCTGAAAACACAGATTCACCAAAACTCATGGAATTTATTAGTTTAAACCCCTAAACCTTCATTGGTGATTATATTTATGCCCTTATCCATGTTTAATTAATGGTTTATAATGGTTGTTAACTACCATCAACAAGGAGGCTAGGAGCAGGCTTGGCTAGAGGAAGGCGCGCTATGGGTGCAACTAGAGGCAGCGGGCGGATGGTGGGAGGAGGGCGGGCAGAGGCGATGGACGTGAGGTTTCATAGGCGACAGTCGTAGCTTGAAGGAGATAGAGGCAACGCCGGCAGGTGAGGAGCGTGGACGAGAAGAGGCAGGTATGGGCGTAAGCAGAGTAGTGTGGGAGGTGGATATATAAGGTTAGATGGAGTGTTGACTTAGGCCAGGAAGGATAAAGACAGTCCCAATGATGAAAACCATGCACGGTTTCCATAACAGTCACATCAGCAAGAAACCAGGGATAAAAACTAGCTCTCACAGTGGATGGTGTCTTCACATAATAAATGTTTTTTCTCTTTCTCTCAACTCCATCTTCTTCCTCTGACTGCATCTTCTCTTCTTTCTCACGAACTAGAAGAAGCAGAGCATGTGTGACAGGGAGGGAAGGGAGGCTGTTGGTCACCGGTGAGGCGACGAGCAAACAACGAGCATCTGGGCAGTGGCGCGGCCTGCGTGGGCGCGGGGGCGCGGAAGGCACGGTCGGCACGGGCACGACGGTGGCGCGGAGCCACGACCTGCACGGCGCAGAGGCGTGACCATCCCAGGCGCGGAGGCACGGCCAGCAAGGGCGTGATAACGACGTGGAGGCACGATTGGCGTGGGCGCGGCGGCGGCATCGAGGCACGTTCGGCACGGGCGCGATGGTGGCGCGGAAGCATGACCATCCTGGCCGTGGAGGTACGACCGACGAGGGCGCGACGACGACGCAGAGCCGCGGCCTGCGCGATACGGAGGCACGACCGGTGCGGGCGCGACGGTGGCATTGAGGCACGGCCGACACGAGCGTGACGGCGGCGCGGAAGCATGACCATCCCGGGAGTGGAGGCATGACCGGCGAGGGCGCGATGACGGCAGCACGGAGTCGCTGCCTGCGCGTCCCGGAGGCACGACCAGCGTCGGTGCGACGGTAGTGCGGAGCCGCCTGCGCGGCGTGGAGGCACGGCAACTGCGACGCGCGCGACGGCGACCTTCACGGACGACGACACCCCGCCGGTAGAAACGGGTCGTTTCCTCCCAATGCAAAAGTTGCGGTTTCTTCACACCTCGTTTCATGAGTAGACATGGTTTCTCAACTAAGAAATGGTTTCATCATATTTTCTTCCCTTTCTTCGTTAATTTGATTGCCATATCAACTTTTTCTTAGTTGGCTGGATGATTAATAGGGATAGAAACTACCACTAATATGCCATTGGGACTGCCCTAAGGTGCAGTATGTTTAGCATTTCTATAAACTTAAGTTTATAATCTCTTGTTTTTTTATTTTATTTAATAAGATATAATAATATATGTAGATGTACATGACATCAGAGAAGGCCGTAGGTCACCTGTAAATACCGCCTACTGAGCAGCATTTTTTTTCTACCCTTGGTCGACCCTTGGCCCGCCGCCCGGACTCGTCTCGCCCGCGGCCGATCCCCTCCATCCGCTCGCCGCGCCGCAGCCAGAGAGGAGACTGCGCTCGGTCGAGCACCACCTAGGGGCCCAGTGTCCTCGCGACCATCTCCGGCACGGCGTCCGCCCTCTGCAGCCCCGGTGTCCCTACGACCGTCGCTGCTGTCCTACTTCGCCACTCGCCACTCGCCACTTTGGCCGGCGACGAGCACCACTAGGACACTAGGTATTCCCTCCCCTTTGTCCTCCCTTCCTGCTGTGCGAAGCCGTGCGCCCAAACCTTAACGTAATTCATAGGTAAAACCGTGCGCCCAAATCCTAACATACTATTCATAATCGGATCTGAATCTAATTACAGGTGTATATGCATGTATTATGCTTACTAACTTCGATTGCTTTGCAAAAATTATTGGGTGTACATGTGCAAATCCGGTGGTTGCGCGTGCAGGCCGTGGTATACCCACGCTCTAAAATCTCGCCCTAGTTGGTAAATACAACTGGTTTGCCCCCAATTAGGTGACTGCAAAACTTTGTTTCAATTATTTTGGTCCTCGTTTGTGATCGGCATGCTCATGGACATCATGCGAATTGTGTAGTGGAATGCCCCTTTAGGGCTTGATAAAAGAGCCAAGGAGGTGACCATGTGACCCACCTATATGAACAACACGTAACTTCATCTCGTTTCAGGGTTTAGAGGTGCATGAAGTCTTCAGAGGAGCTGAGGGCAAGCATTTCAGATTTGGTGGTGTGTTCACCAACCCGGACAGAGGGCGAAACTTATTCTTCAGGTGATTTGTCGCCTGAGGAGGGCGTACAAGTCACTAGTTTCACAGAGGATCTTCATGATGTAACGCTTCATTTTCAGATAATGAGGTTTTCTAAACAGGTAGACAATGTTTCTTGGCTCCAATTGAAGTATCAAACTGAAAGTTGTTCAAATTCATGGCATAGCAGGAATTCATTGATATTTATTAAAAAAAACCTTATGCTACTTCAGATGATATAAGGCTTCAACTTTGTTTGTGCTCTACCAGCTGGCTGTGTACTTTCTTTCAGTAAAATAAGTAACTAGCAGTCTATCATATCATCTTGTGACCTGAAAGCATGCTAGTTTTAGCATTTGGCAAGTTCATCCTGTCCTTGTGACTAAGGTTGTTCACATTGTGGTCACGATGGTTATGACTGGACGGACGCTTTATGTCACTTGTAATTGTTAGCTCCAAGCCTTTAATCTGCCTGGACAAAAATTGATGTGTTGCTGTACTCTCTACATTCATTGTATTTTTTATGTACATTTGTTTGAATTCTCACAGCTTGTTTTTTTAAGAATATCCTCACAGCTTGTTTGCAGTGTGTTACCTCTCATGCTTTAATTGTTGTATATAGAATATTTTTGTGAGTAATCATATTTGAGCTTTTCCTTTTTATTCATTTTGATGCAGATCTATGTGTGGATTGGATGCAACACAACAAAGTTTGGCCATTTATATGCTGCTGCAACCACTAGGCCGGTAAGCGGTAATTGTTTCATCTTTAGAAGATGCTGTTTAATTATTTCTGCTGTCATTTGTGCCACATTGTCTTTTCCGTTGCCCTTGCAGGATAACAGAGTGAGTGTTACCTCTGTACTGGGAGGAACATCTGATAACACCGGATCAAGTATGGCTTGCCGTCTAGGTACTGTTTCTGTTGGCAGTTTATACAGTAACTCATTGCCCTGCATTCACGGTAGCTTTTAGTAACAGAAAGGATGCATCCTTACATGTCTCAGTGCTGAAGACCGGTCTGAACATAGTCCTGGCAAACAACATCCCAAAAGACAGCCCCATTCTTGAGGTACTTACAGTTACAGGTGGCCTCATACCTGCATAACAATCTTGTGAAACATATCTGACGTTCACTGGTTCATGGTTTCAGGCTGCTGCGGAGAGGAAGCTGGTGGAGAAGCTGAAAGGTTTGGGCTACATTAAAACTGCAGCTGCGGAGGCTAACAATTCCACGGCAAGGTTTGGGCTACATTAAAATTGCAGCTGTGGAGGCCAACACTTCCACGGCACAATGATCCGTGGTATGATCTTGTGAGCTTCCGGTCGACGTGTACCTTCATCATTAGATGCAGCAGGAACGGTTGTGATTTTTGATGGGCTTGATTGGCAAACTGTTTTCTCTGTTCTCTCATGTGGTAAAAATTATTGTGAACATGTTCGTTGTAACGTACTCCCTCCATTCTAAATTATAAGTCGTTCTGACTTTATATACATAATTTTTACTTTGTATCTAGACATGTATATCTAGATATGTAGTAAAAATTATGTATCTAGAAAAGTTAAAATAATTTATAATTTGGAACGAATAGAGTAACCTTGTTTGATATCCTCCTCCTAAACTTTTGTCACCTAAACCAGGGACTAAACTTTAGTCACTAGGTGTTTGGTTTGGGTGACTAAAAGAGACTAGAAGAGGTCTTTTAGTCTCTTTTAGTCAGGGTGTTTGGTTCTAAAGTGACTAAAAGGTGAGGTTTAGTCCCTTTTAGCAATATTTTGGTGACTAGTTGGCTAAAATCTATTTAGTTCCATTTAACCATAGTGTTTGGATGAAAAATGACTAAATAGGACTAGATTTAACTGACTAGGAGGGACTATGCAATGCCTTGCAACTTTGAGATCCTCAGCTAAGCATAAAATCGGCATTCAGATCATTTAATGGCTAGTCCCATGCGTATGGTCCGGAGCTTGCAAGGCTTTATGTGTTACGGCCTCTGCCCTGATGCGAGCGAGCTACAAAATATGGGATTTGTGCAGGCGTCTGATGGCTACCACTGTAGGGCAACAACAGCGATTGTCGATGAATCCAAGTTGCATTTTTGTTCATGGGATCGATCTACCTAAATTCAGGAATCTGTATGACCACGCGTAAGGGGTGTTTGGTTCACTCTTCATCTCCTAAATCTAGTCATATTTAATCTTATTTAGTCACTTTTTATTTAAATATTTTGACTAAATAGAACTAAATAGGCTTTAGCCAACTAGTCACTCAAATGTTGTTAAATGGGACTAAATATTACCTTTTCATCTTTTAGTTACTTTGAAGCTAAACACCATGACTATTAGTCTCTTTTAGCCTATAAAACCAAACAGAAATAACTAAAGTTTAAAAGGTAATTTAGATGACTAAACTTTAAACTTTAAGAGGTGTAAATCAAACAAGGCCTCACACGATTCCTATAGAATAATAAGTGCACGCAGATTTGACCCAAACCGTAGCGAAAAGCCATTTTGGCTTTGGGGAGTGGGGACCTTGCAAAGCAGCTGCACCTGCACGTAAAAAACTGCTCGGATGGAAAATGCAAATTCTTCAGTGCATTGGGGTGTGTGGTAACATAACCTAAAAGGCTTGCAGCTACGAGCAAAGAGGTCTAAACATGCGGTCTCTTCTGGTGACAAATGGCTCACGTTGATTTGCCTTTTAGTGCGATTATTATTCCCTTTTATGCCTTGTTCGAAAGTTATTAGATTCATCATGGCTCACGTTGATTTGCCTTTTAGTGCGATTATTATTCCCTTTTAGGCCTTGTTTGAAAGTTATTGGATTCATCTCAATATCTATCCCAACACACATGTATTGATCTAAATTCAACTACATCCAAACAAGGCCTTAACGAGGTCAAACCAACCCAAGAATACTCCTAAATTTAATTCTTCATTCACATGTAGGGGCATCCTAACAAAAAAACTCTCCTAAATATTTCTCTCTAACAGTCCCATATTCCAAATAACATATACTAATATATAGACAACTTGTCAGGCTAAAATTTAAGGCATAAGGGAAAGATTTAGATTGTAACTAAATACACAAACTCTAATCAATGTCTGGTCGTGAACTTGCGTGAACGTGTGACCTTGTGCCATCGACCCGTCCATCACCGCACCTTTGTTGGAGTTAGGGTTTACTTCCTCCCTCGACCCTAGAACCCCGGCGGCAAGATTGGTTGGACCATGGATGGGCGGAGTTGCAAGACAGCAGAGGGTTGCCAACCACTATGTATGGAGGTGGTGGTTGGACGAAGCAAGGGCGAGGGAGGCTCGTTGGCAACGAGTTCACAGAGGGTGGGATTAGTGGGCACCGCGTACTAGGGCGTGGTGGGAGGCGTCGACGGGAGGGGTCTCACGCTCTTGCGACCGCATAACAGGTGGCGTGGTAAACTTCGTCCAACTAAATATGAGATGATGGATATATAGATATTGTGATTGTAGCATGTTTTTTGTATATATTTGTGCTAAATAGTTGGATTTGTAGGTAGAGTTTAGACGAGAAAAGTTGCAAATGCACCCTATATTTCTTTGGTAGGGAAAAGTTCAGCGACAAACAAAGGTTGGCACGTTGTACAGTAAATAGGCACTTAGGCCCTGCATGAACATACACTATATTTACATCAGGAAATAGTACCAGTAGTTGTAATCTCCTATTACAATTTTGACTATGGATTTTAGGATCCGTTTGAAACACAGGAATTTTATAGGAATTTCACATAAATCGGTTAATTTTTATAGAAAAAACACAGGAACCTTAAAAAAAATTCTCGTGTTCCAGACAAGTCCTCACGTTAGAATTCATAGATTCCGAAAAAAAAATTTGGTACTTGTACTACTGCTATACGATGTGACTGTCCTACTGTCACCAACTTTTCTGCCCTACAACTCCACACACAAAAGCTCACGGACGCATCTCCGGAATCCCCCCTTTCCAGCCAGCCACCCTCACGCTTCACTAGCCCTTGCTCCTCCGAAATGGCGGCGGCCACCTCCTCCACCACCTACCTCGCCATCGCCCGCAAAACCCTAAACCCCGCCCCCTCCGTAGGCACAGCCGCCACCTCCGTCTCCTTCCCCGCCACGCAGCCCCCATGCCTCCTCGCCGCCGCCTCCGCGGACCGCCGCCGCGCCGTGGCTGCGAAGGTCTCGTCGCCGTCGGTCATCGGCACCGCCATGCCGTCGCTCGACTTCGAGACCTCCGTCTTCAAGAAGGAGAAGGTGTCCCTGGCCGGCCATGAGGAGGTATGATTTGCAGGCCCAGCCCGTGCTTCCGTGATCCTTCGTGGATTAGTTTGTGCGAACCCACACACACGCTGCTGATTTTGCTGGTTTGTGTTGCAGTATATTGTGAGGGGTGGGAGGGATCTGTTCCCGTTGTTGCCGGAGGCCTTCAAGGGAATCAAACAGATCGGAGTAATCGGCTGGGGCTCGCAGGTTAAAAGGACTTCAAACTCTATTTTGTCTGACGGAACTGTTCTTGTCGGTACCGGCGTTTACTCCTGTCAAATTTGTACTGGGTTATTCTATTTGAGTATAGATAGAATTCGTGTGCTCTTGGGGACAAAATCTTTGTGACCAACTGCAGATTCAGATTATAATATGGCTATAAACATTTTTGCTCGAGCACTCTTTGGTCGGATGAATATGGTAGGGCCAATTTGCTTGATGGTGACCAAGTCTTGCTGTGGGCAAAAGAATAAAAACATTATATGCTAGTATTAATCGCTTGAAGCTGCTAATGTCGAGCAAACATGCCACTACAGCGCATATGGCCTGACTTAGTCCCAGCTATTGGGCTTGAGTGTTACCGTGCTAATGTTACTCTATATTAGGTATATAGTTTCGTTTAGTGGGAATCAATATTGATGTTGCTATGTTTGTTGGTGTTGGATGCAGTGAATGCCTTTCCTAATGGCAGTATCAATTGAATTATCTGGAGTAGATGTAAATGCACAATCTGTATTTTCTTATATTTCATTGTTTATTAAGTTATAGTTGTTTACCCATCAATATTTTTCCTATTTACTTTTGGACATGAATTTTCTGTTTCTATAAGTTTTGTAGAAGACAGGAGGTCTCTACACATTGATAAAAACCATGTGCAGGCATTTGACATAGTCATTATTAATTTTGCAGGGTCCTGCGCAAGCTCAGAACTTGAGAGACTCACTTGTCGAGGCAAAGGCAGACATTGTTGTTAAGGTTAGGTCTCCTTTGCATTCTGCTAGTACAGCATATCTTATCCCTGTTAGAGAAAGTCAAATTTTCTAACAGTTGGTAGCTCTAAATCATTGCTTCAATGGACCATCATATGTTCGTTGGTTTCCTGTTGACTCGATGTTACTTAAGCAGTAAGCAGTATTTGCCTCTCTGATTCAGTTGTTTTGGTTTCAGATTGGTCTCCGGAAAGGTTCTAAATCTTTTGAAGAAGCCCGAGCAGCGGGATTCACTGAAGAGAGTGGGACACTGGGTGATATATGGGAGACTGTATCAAGCAGTGATCTTGTTTTGCTGCTGATATCTGATTCTGCTCAGGTTTGCTTCTTCATCGATTTATATGCTCATATGCTGCATACTTTCTGTTGATCTTTTTTTAAACTTCTTTCTGTTGATCATTCCCTGGTATAGTACTATAGTGTTGCACCTTGTGTTATTTCAATTATTATCATTTTAATTCTGTTGCTTTGAGGTGAGACCGATTCTAGTTGGTCACACTCTTATATGTTTAAAAGTCTGATGACATTTATGGTACTTCAATACTCTGTACAGGCTGATAACTACGAGAAAATTTTCTCACACATGAAACCAAACAGTATTCTTGGTTTGTCACATGGATTTCTCCTTGGACATTTGCAATCTCTGGGTCTTGATTTCCCTAAAAACATCAGCGTGATTGCTGTATGCCCTAAGGGAATGGGCCCATCAGTTAGAAGACTTTATGTTCAGGGCAAAGAGATTAATGGTGCTGGTATCAATGCTAGCTTTGCTGTTCACCAGGTATACTACATATGGGTATTGTCTGAATAGTTTATTACTTTTTTACCTTCACCAGGTTTATTACATATGTTACACATGTTTGTTTTGTTTGGTTCTTCGTTCAAGTGTATATTTTTGAATCTCTATTGACATCCTCGTGTGGTTCTTTGCATTTTATAGGATGTTGATGGAAGGGCAACAGATGTAGCTCTAGGGTGGTCAGTAGCTCTAGGTTCTCCTTTCACATTTGCTACTACTCTAGAGCAGGAGTACCGGAGCGATATTTTTGGCGAACGAGGTAACCTACTTTCCTGTCCAACGAAATAAAGTTTTGCACTTTGAGTCTGTGTCTAATTATTTATTACACAGGTATTTTGCTTGGTGCTGTCCATGGCATGGTGGAGGCTCTTTTCAGGAGATACACAGAACAAGGAATGGATGAGGACTCAGCATATAAGAACACTGTAGAGAGCATCACTGGAATTATATCGAAAACTATTTCAAAGAAGGTACACAAAGCTTTTCTTATCTTTTGATTGTTTCATTTTGGCTTTACTCATTGCATGTCTTTCCATGGTACCAGGGGATGCTTGAAGTTTATAACTCCTTGACCGAAGAAGGAAAGAAGCAGTTTATTGAGGCCTATAGCGCAGCTTATTACCCATGCATGGACATATTGTATGAGTGCTATGAAGACGTTTCTTCTGGAAGTGAGATTAGAAGTGTGGTGTTGGCTGGGAGGAGATTTTATGTATGCCTTCCCGTCTGCTAAAATGCTAAACCATATTCTATTTGTGGATCTCCAATGAAACAAAATAAAATGTTTACATGCATTTTCCTTTCTCTTAACAGGAGAAGGAAGGGCTTCCTGCTTTCCCTATGGGAAACATTGATCAAACACGTATGTGGAAGGTGGGTGAAAGGGTCCGTTCAACCAGGCCACAAGGTGATCTTGGTCCATTGCATCCCTTCACTGCTGGAGTGTATGTTGCACTAATGATGGCTCAGGTTTGATTCCATATCCAGAAAGGGTAATATGGTTTCATTACACTGGTTAATGAAATATTTAACAGTCTTTTGTTTCGCTCCATTGTAGATTGAGGTCCTTAGAAAGAAGGGCCACTCTTACTCGGAGATCATTAATGAGAGTCTGATCGAATCTGTGGACTCGTTGAACCCGTTTATGCATGCTCGTGGTGTGGCCTTTATGGTTGATAACTGCTCCACAACTGCTCGCTTGGGATCTAGGAAGTGGGCACCACGCTTCGATTACATCTTGACCCAACAAGCGTTTGTGACTGTTGACAAGAAAGCACCAATCAACCAAGACCTCATCAGCAACTTCATGTCTGACCCTGTTCACGGTGCCATTGAAGTCTGTGCTCAGCTGAGGCCCACTGTTGACATCTCAGTGACTGCTGATGCAGATTTCGTGCGCCCGGAGCTTCGACAGTCTTCATAAGCTTGTATGGATCTGCAGCGTGTACTGCAATGGTTAGTTTGTAAGAACTGATATGTGTGGGTTTTTGAACTCTTAGATTTTCCTGTTTGAGGACCAGAAAAGTAAACTCTTGGGGTGTAGTACTGCTGTGATTTGCAAGAATAAAAATAAATGGTTGGAACCAAATGTCTGATTCGCTATGCCCTTTTTGATGCGAATGCTAGTCATAGCTGAGGCTCGTGATCTAAGTCTTATTCTGAATATCACGGACCCAAGGTTATGTCTCAAGCTAATTTTGTTCACCATTTCGACTTCGATTTGCTAGACTTGATTTCCTGATGAAACCAAGGTCCACATGGACTCAAAAAAGGTACTCAATCCATCCTAAATTGTAAGACGTTTGACGTTTTTTGACACCAAATTTGACCACTCGTCTTATTCAAAAATTTGTGTAAAATATCACTTCTTTCGTCGTGGTTTGGTTTATTAATAAAAATTGTTCAAGAATGACTTAAATTTAACTATATTTGTATAAATTTTTTGAATAAGACGAGTGGTTAAACTTGGAGCCAAAAAAAAGTTAAATGTTTTATAATTTGGGATGGAGGGAGTACCTTCCACGAGTAGCTGTGACATTCTCTCAACGCTTGCAGTTGTGATGGAGAGGGGAAGCCTGAACCATCACAACGCTTCCAGCTCTGATGGAGAGGGGAACCCTGAACCATCTGTCAGTGATCGCTGCAAACTTTTGTTGGGACTTGGGAAGGACAAGCATTGCCCGGGCGGCATTGCCGGCCCTTCGAAGTAGGCAACCAAGCTGACAAACAGACAACACTACCTTGGGCACTACCAACAAGTAGCACCGAGCTCGGTCATTCCGTCGTCGAACTCGAACATCCGCAAGGCAAACTTCTAAAAAACCCAACGATTAATTCGAGGTGTCTCAGCCCTCGTTCGTTTGGCGTTTCCTGGCTCACCTCCCTATATATATGTATATAAACCCCCAACAGACACACGCAAACCACAGCGTCGAGCGATCATCGATCAACAGGTAAATTCTCAACGAGCTGCTGATCAGCTAATTAAGCAAGCGGGCAGCATGGCCGAGAGGGAGGGCGCCGTGGTGAAGAAGGGGCACGAGGAGGGCCTGAAGATGGCGGTATCGCTGCTGGAGGAGTTCGGCCTCCCGCTGGGCCTGCTGCCCCTGGCGGACGTCATCGAGGTCGGGTTCGTGCGCGCCACGGGCTACATATGGATCGCGCAGCGGAAGAAGGTGGAGCACCAGTTCAAGCTGGTGAGCAAGCAGGTGAGCTACGACGTGGAGATCACCGGGTACGTCAGCGCCAAGCGCATCAAGAAGCTCAAGGGCGTCAAGGCCAAGGAGCTCATGCTGTGGCCCCCCGTCAACGAGATCATCGTCGACGACCCGCCCACGGGCAAGATCCACTTCAAGAGCCTCGCCGGCGTCACCAAGACCTTCCCAGTCGAGGCGTTCGCCGCGGGACAGTAGCCGCCGCGCCCGGCGCGCCCGCGCACGCACGTATGCTGTGTGGGAAGCTTGCCTTGCTTTATTTATGTTACCCGCCTCGTTGCTTGATGATTTGCCGCATAAAAGGCCTGCTTAGTGCTAAACCATACTCCTAAGGCCTCGTTCGTTTAGGGTGAATTGAGGGCCGGAAATAATCCAGCTGATCATTGTTACTACAAATAAACCTGTCATTCCATTCGGAACTGTTTCTTACTTCCGTTCCCCAGTAAACGAACGGGCCCTAAATAGCATCACGAGTCCACGACGAATATGGATTTGTACGGTTTCACGATTTGGTTGTGAGGATATATTACTGCGTCTTCCTAGTAATATTGAGTATGTTTCTCAGAAGCCGAATGTGTGTTTGGTAGCTTGAGACGAGTGATGACCGCTAATGGAGAATGGTCGGTTTGGCCAACCCTGAATCCTTCGGCAATCGACATTCGACAGAACTGTTGCCAGGAACGATGATTAGAAAAGTTTATATTGCCTAGTTAAACTATCGTCGTAGTTCACTTCTCCTTCTGAAACTCTAAAACAAGACACATTATTTCCCTCGTCTCTCGAAACCGTTTAAATTACCTCTTACCCTAGTTAAAAGTGATATTCAAGTCGGTTTTATCAATTTTTTAATTAAATAATTTTAGTAAACCACGAAACGATATCTCTAATGTTATAGAAATTCAAAGAAAAATCATAAATATAGCTCAGAACCCGATAAGTTGAAATAAAATACATAGAAATCACTAATGAAAGTACATAAAGCTTAGATAAATTAGATTTAGCTCTAGAAAAATATGAAAAATATCCTTAAAATCTGGAGAATTGAGGATGGACATGTGGTCTAGTGGTGAAGGCTCCAGGGAGGAGCCGGCAGGCGGGGGTTCAACCCCCCGTCCCGCATCTGCCCTCCCGTGTAGGGGGAACCAGGTGGTGCTTTCAAAAAAATCTAGAGAATTCTCAATCATTCTGAACAATGTCCAAAGGCATTGGAGAAACTTTCCACATCAGTTGTGGTGAGTTTTCAAAACATTGATTAGAATGTTCTAGAACTTTCAATTTTTTAAATCTTTTCTAGAGCAAAATCTAATTTCTGAAAGCTTATTAATACAGGTTTACCAATATATGTTTTATTTTCAATTAAAATGATAAACCCACCTCTAATAGGAGTAGAAGTAATCTAAATGGTTTTTGAGAGTTGAAGATAGATTCTCCAGTTTTGTAGTTTTCGGTTAGTGAGGCAAAAGTTTTTTTCTCACAGAAAATATAGAAATAGGTTTTTTTTTCTCGTCCAAATAGGCTATTAGGTTCATGGACTTTGCAGCAGCAGGACGCGAACGGCCGTAGCCCTCCCCGTCGGCACGTGGGCCGGACACTTGCGAACGTGGTCCCGGCCTGGGAAACTTTTGTTCCGGGCTTCATCATAGGCCCATGCCAACTTCTGTTCCAGCGCTATTCGGCCTGTGCGAGGATTGGGATAGGCAGTCCAGTTTGTCGTTAAGATTAGCCTCTGTATTGTAATGAACTGCCGTTCTTCTGAAACGGAAACGGTGCTCCACCGCTCACCCTTCGATGGATCGACGATTCGACGGTGCAGAGACGCTAACCGCGGATGGCAATGGCGTCTCGTACTCGCTTCATCAGGTCTGGCGTGCCTTGCGTCAGTCGCCCGCCGTGCCAAGGCAGATCATTAACAGAGCGGCGTTTAGTGATTAGATTAGAGTTGGCGCCGATGGCCGGCGCTGAGTAAAGTCCCGGGCGAAAGCGTCGGTGAGCAGCAAAAACCGCACATCGAGTGGACGCGAGCACTCGGCCACTCGGGGGGTCCCCGCAGTCCGCACCGCACCTGGCACCTGCTCTTTCCAGACGGAGCCCGGAGCCGCCTGCCCCGCAAATTACGGAACCCGGCAATCGTCTCCTGTCTGTCAGCACCACTACCGTGTACGGCTATGAGTACACCACGACCCTTGCTCGTGAAGTTATCATCGATGCATCCACCAGTTGAGCCCCAAGTAGTACGCACGACTGGTTCGCATCAAGTTCGTAGTTGCTCATGGGTATACGGATCGCAGCGTGACCGCAACATCACTTTTGTACACTGGACTGGACCATCGCCTTCTGTGTGCTCACATGTTACTGTTGCAGTAGTACATCTTCAGGATAAATCTTTGCCCTGTGCATTGCAACCTTTACGCTCCCCATTTCTAACATGCGTCTTGTAAACAAACAAAAAAAAAGGTCTGTCCCTAACTTTCGCAGTCACTGGGCCCCGCACCCTCGCAAAGCTCATTATGCGCATTGATCTTAGAGCACATGTAGCGAGGACCCACGCGCTGTCGGCGTGGTTATAAGTTTGAAATCGAGAACAGCAACCTGTACAGGAATTGAGGCAGGAGGAGTACATACGATGCTCGATCCAGTTTGATTTAGAGAGGAGCCACGACGGCCGCCAGAGATTGGAGGCGGACATATGCCCCGCGCCGTGAGACCCTATCCAGGCACGGTCCTCAGGTCCTCGAGATGCGTGCGCGGGGCTCCGAGCGCTTGTCATAACTGCCCGCCAGCGCCAGGCCTGGTTCTAGAACGCCGCAGTACACGACCAGAGGCCAGCAGGCAGCAGGCAGCAGGCAGCAGCCCAGCAGCATTGGCCTGCCCTGTGTGTGTGGGCAGTGGGCGTCATCGGCACACCAACCCCGGCATGCCCTCTTATATCAAAAAAAGAAAAAGAAAAAACGGCACACTCATTCACCGCGCAGTCGGTTGCTCAGAGTCACACGGTTCACGCACAACCCATTCAGGCATTCACCCTCGTCATCACCAGCGGGCCTCCACGGTCGCCGCTCGGCGGCCACGGCCAGCCCCCGCTCCCCGACAACGACAAGCGCTATTTCCGGTCTTGCGGTGCGCACACCACTTTTTATTGGCCCGGCCCCGGCGCCAGTGCGATCCACCACCATCCATCGGCGGTCCGCCGGAGGCCGGGCGGACGCCGTGCACAACCACACCCAGACCCAGCCCAGTGAAGTTACGCGGCGCTTTTACTCCTGACTCTCGTACGCGCCCCAGATTTGGAACTGCAACGGTGGCAGCGGCAGAAACATATGATACGGGATGTGATGTAAAGGCGGGCGGGAGCACAGTAACTTTCATTTCAATTCGATTCGAATATCGGAAGACGGCCGCGACTTTTCGACAGCTTGCGTGCGCCAGCCATATACAGAATCAAAGGCACCACCGCTCGCTGCGGTCCTTTTTTGATTGTTTTCACGGCGCCGACCGACCAGGAAAAAAGTTCACTCGGATCGACACCGCAAGACAAACAGAGAAGGGGGGAACGGATGATCTCGGCTTCCGGGAGGAACGACTCCTTGCTTGTCATCAAAATTGTAGTACCCTTTTCTTTCTTAAAAAAGAAGAACGAAACACGGCAAAACAAAACGAATCTGTGCACGGTTACCGGCGACGGATTTGTTGAGATCGATGGATTATCCTTGCCAGTGCTAGTGCTACTAGGCGAGGAGCATCTGGAAGAGCATGTCGTTCCAGATGTCGATGGGTCCCGGGAGGCACCAGTGGATGCAGTCGTTGTAGAGCTGCACCTTCTCGTTGGGCCAGTGCCCGTACCGGCTGGGGTGGCCGTCGGGCCGCATCAGCATCGCCGCCGTGGCGTCCATGAGCATCAGCCGCCTCCTCTTCTCGCTGGCGGCCTTCTCCGCCGCGCGGAACTCCTCCATCTGCGCGGTGTAGAAGTGCAGGTCGCGGCCCTCCATGGTGGTCTGGTTCGCCCGCAGCGGCTGCGTGCGCCTGCAGTTGCCGCCGTGGTCCCACGTGCCGTTCTCGAAGTGCGACATCGGGGAGAGCATGCGCACGATGACGCGCCCGCGGAGGTGCTCCAGCTCGTTGATGGCGCGCAGCGCCACGCGCCACGCGCGGCGCTGCGAGTAGTAGAGCGTCAGGTCCGGGACGCCGTACTGCCGGCTGCAGAAGCTGCACCCGATGAGGCGCCGCTTCTCGTAGAAGAGGGACGGGCGGGAGAACCAGTTGGCCGCCGACACCAGCACGTAATCGAAGCGGGAGATCTGCGACACCCACTTGTCGTCGGCCTCGTCCAGGTAGAGGCTCCAGTGGCCCGTGTGCGCGGGGCCGTCGTGGTCGGGCTCCCGGGCGCGCACCAGGAACGGCGACCAGAACATGCTGATGGTGAAGTTGTACGCCCGGTAGTGGTACACCTTGTTCTGGTCCGACGGGTTCGCCGACAGGTCCTTGGGATACGCCACCTGCAGCCGCAGCCATGTATGCACGCAGTGGTCAGTCGGGAGGTCAGTCTCTGGTGGTGGTGTGAGTGGAAGCTTCAGCTCATCAGCTGTGCAAAGTCTCATCACTCACCTGGGAGAGGAGGCAGAGCAGCGACTGCATGTGGTTCCGCGCCAGCGAGTCCCCGACGAAGGCCAGCGACTTTCCGCGGACGAACTGCAGGAACTGCAGCGGGTCGAAGCGCGGCAGTTCGCACCCGGAGGGCCGCCACCGCCACCTGAGGAACCCCAGGTCGGGGCGCCCGTACTTGAGGCAGTTCTGGTGCTCCTGGATCATGTGGCACGTCTTGTGGTTGTAGTAGGGCGCCTCCGCGTCCGGCACCCACTCCCCGCGGAAGATGTCGCAGTACTTCATGACGCTGACCACGGGCGTGGAGGAGGCCAGCTTCGCGGCGCGCGGCGCCACGCCGACGCCCACCAGCCCGAAGTACTGCGCGTTGGTGAGCACGATGAGGATGGCCAGCGCCGAGAAGTAGACCGGCACCGGCCCGAACAGGAACCGCACCAACCAGTGGAGCTTCTTCATCATCCTATCCGCCTTCCGCCGCCGCCGCCTCCTCGAGCTGTATTATATGCACCAGACCTCTGATTCAATTCCCCACCTATCTGCTGGCTACCTAGCAATCTCTCATCCGGCTAGCAATTCATGGCCAAGACGAGTGAGCATCGGGCGCGCCGGCTAGCAAGACGGCGACGGCCTCCGCTCCGCCGCTGGTGGCCGGGCTCACCGCGCTCGCTCGCTAGCTGTTGGTGACTGATATTTAGCTAGTGCTATCCATCCATGCCGAACCCCCTTTTGCTGCTCTTTGAATAAAGCAAGCCGGTGGCCGCGTGAAGGCAGAGAGTAGGTGCGCGGCCGGTTTCAATAATACTGCCAAGTGGGGCTTGCAAGCGAACATGTCTGTCCCTGTCAATATTAATCGCGTACGTAAGCCCCCATCATTAAGAAAATGCACCCCGCATGACCTCTGTTGGGGTCACTGCTGCTGCTGCTGCTTGCCTTGCCGAGCTGTAAATCGAGCTGTCTTTGACCCCTGCAGATCTGATGAAACAGCCATATTATACGCGTTTTGTTGTACCCATGTACTAGTACTACTATTAGTTCTGCAAGAGGAATCGACGAACGGGCTACGGGAACCACAGGTTTCATCAGGAAACATAAACAAATGGGACAAACAGCGGTGGGTGTGCGCGCCCATCGATAAGAACATCGGTTAGTTTTGTGTTACGGGAGTGCTCGCCATGCTCGGTTTCAGAGGTGGGATGTTTGTCCGGTGAGAAGTGAGATTGACGGTGGTGGACTAGTCGTGGCGAAGATGCCTTCTGGTCGGCCTGGCAGAATGAGAGGGAGGCAACCGGCAAGGCAAGGAACCGGCGCCTGGCCGGGCGACCTGACATCAGATTAGATCCAAGTACGGAGTAGTCATCGGCTCGTTCGTATTTTTTTTTTCTCACACCAAAACAATTTCGACCAACTTTTTAATACAAGCCGAACGTGCCCTGGCGCGTCGCCTGATTGGCCCCATCCCGCCAGCCGGCCGGCGATCTCTCAGTTCGGCAGGAGGCGGACGTTAACCCCGAGGTTGGCACGGTCTGTGCCACCATGTGGAGCACAACAAGTCACCGAGCTGTAGTTTGAAATGGGCTGGACCAGATCTACTACTACGTGCATGTGTAACGGCAAGAACCGCGTGAATTGGGCGCAACCATTCGGCCGGAAGAGTGACGCGACCCGAAAGGAGCGCAGCGTGGCGTCGTCAGAGGAGAAAGCAGGTATGACGGCTCTTCTTCTTCCGTGCACGTGCCCGTGCCCGACTCATTGCTCCCTGCCAAGATTGTTTAGCAGAACTTAAATCTAAAAAAAAAGAAAGTAAAGTGCACTAGCAGCCCTTAAACTTATTCGGTTGTATTATCCCGATCCCCAAACTCATAAATTGATCATTCAAAGTCCTCAAACTTGTTCATATGTGTCATCCCGGTCCCTAAATTCTCAAATCATTCATTTAGATCCTCCAACTTATTCGGCTGTATCAACTAGATCCCTAAACTTGCAAATCACGCGTTAGGTTCTCAAACTTGTTCATTTGTGTCATCCCAGTCCCTAAATACTGTAAACTTATAAATTCAATATATATTTATAGAACTATTTAAAAATTATAAATCTAATTTCGTTAGACTCCAGGTAACATATACTTTAAACTAAAAATAAAAAAATTCATTTTGTACTTTCTATTTTTAATTCTATAGTTCAATAACTAAATAGGCACATACATTTTTACGATTTATAAAAATATACGTGTCTATTTAGTCATTTAACTATAGAGTTAAAAAAAGAAAGCACATAGTGATTTTTTAATCCAATTTAAAGTACATGTCACAAGGAGTCTAACAAAATTAGATTTATAATTTTTGGACAATTCAATAAATATATATCTCCTACAACTAAAAAGAATAAAGTGTGGACATTTTTTGTGCGATATTTGTTTTGGTTCATCCGTCTGCCCACGCCTATGATCCCACGACATCATAATTACTGATTGATCGTGTCATTCTTCTTGATTGAATATTGCATGTCATGTGATAGAGGAATCATGGCAAAATAGAAAGTAGAAAATTATTGTGCTATCCATATACGTATTGCATGTTTGTATGCACCAGCATACATGGCAATGAGCAAAAGGAAAGAGAAATAACACAGAAGGAAAGAGAATTAAGACAAAAGAAACCTCTTTGCACTTCTAAGAATCTTGTCAAATCTGCCTACATTTAATTACTTCCCCTCTTTCCATTTGTAAAAGGGACAGCTTTTTCCTCCTTTCATTTGGTTTCACGCTCACGTGTTCCATCACCATCGCTTGCTGTTTCTTGCGTGAACCATAGTTGATGTCATCTGTCTTTCATAGCTCAGCCTCCCAATCCCAAGAGAAGGTCTACCCCTCTCGACGGAGATCCGGCCGCCGCGAGGATCTCCTCGAGTCCATCGGGCGGCGTCTCGCGTCGAGCCACCACGACGTGGCGTCTTTCTCGATCCGCTTGTTTCCATAGCGCGCATTGCCGTCCCGTTCACGACCTTCGGGCCGCCTCCTCGCCGCCCTGCTTGATCCGACTTCGGACGCGCTTCGGCTTTTACTACGCCCCGGAGAAGAAGGTCTTGTCCAAGACGCCGTCCGACGTCGGCGCGGCAAGGTGGCGCGCGACTCCTCGTGTGGGTGGTGGCGCTCATTGACGAGGTGGCGCCCGTGACGCCTTCTTGAATCCATTCAGCCGCGTGCCGTGCCCCCGCGTTGAGCTTCCGCCGCGCAGCGAACACGCCGCGGCGACGTCCTCATCGAACGCATGTTCAGGGTCCCGCACGGTGGGTCCTCCATCCCACCAACGACTACGGGACGCGGATGCCGCAAGTAGAGCCATCAAACTAGAAGACATGAGGGACGTGTTCTTCCGTGAAGATCGCGTGCTCTCGACGCCGCCGGCCATGAGTGCGTGCGGGCATGGCCATGCTTGGGTGCTCCACGGAGGTCGCGTTTCGCCGGGTTGAGTCGACGGCGCATGGACGCCGCCGACACCAAACCGGAGTTCTCCGTGGGGTCCATCGCCCATCGCCAAGACAAGTTCTTGGCGATCGATCGCGACTGGAGAAATCTCCGTCTCTGCAGCAAGAACGCCGCCGGCGCTTACTTCAACCGCGACGCCGCCGCCATCATTGCCGCCACCCACGGGCTCGCCACCGTAGCTACCGAATCAAACGGTGAGCTGCACATTGTGGGTGCCATGGTAAGCACGTTCCACGAGACACAAAGCTTCACCTACAGCAGCACGATCTACAAGTGCAACCTCCACGACCGTACGCCGGAGTGGTCCGGGGTGAAGGACATGGGTGATCAGACACTGTTCATGTCTAAACATTTCAATGAAAGGTTCAGTGGAACAAGTGTATCCAAGTACAAGGAGAACAAAATCTACATGTCTGAGCCATTATATGGGGATCCATACGACTTGGTCCATCGACTGGAGATCGTTGATATTGATCTGGGGTGCATCCAAGTGAAGCCCGCCCGAAAAAAAGATGCAAGGTTCCGAGGCTCTAGGTTGGATTCGACCCAATCTCTGGAAACTCTAGAGTTTGTGAGCCTGCGACGCCGCGCACTCCGTGACTGTGTTAAATTCATAAACTTTGTTTTTGGATTAAATGTCACTTTGATGTTAGTATTTAATTTAACAATATTTTTATCTTATCATGCGATCCGTGTGTTTTTAGTATAAATTGTTAGTTATCCCGTAGCAACGCACGAGCACGCTACCTAGTTGAATTTATAAGTTTACAATATTTACAACATTTAGGGACTAGGATAACACAACTAAAGAAGTTTGAGAACATAAACGGGTGATTTGTAAGTTTAGGGACCTATATGATACAGCCAAACTAATTTGAGAATCTAAACGAGTGATTTGAAAGTTTAGAGACTGTAATAACACAGATGAATAAGTTTAAGGACCTAAACAATTAATTTACGAGTTTAGGGGCAAGATGACACGGTCGAATAAGTTTGAGGACAACTTTACTAAAAAAAAAAAAAGATTGTTTAGCAGAACGGCACGAAGAGAGGCAATGCTACGTGGCGTGAATAGCCGAAACAGCTGTCGCCTGGCTGGGGCCGGTCCGCGGGATGGGACCACAAGCCAGCAGCGTCCGGCCGGGCGCGTGAAGTCGCCGAGAAAGATAGGCACGGTGGATTGGTAACGTAGGGCCGGCCGGCGAGGGCAGGAGCGCCCGCTCGCCGCTGCCGGGCGGCACATGGCGCGCGTGCCTCGCATGCGACCATGATGGACACAACGGCCCCCCGCGTAGCCTTGGATCGGGCACCGCTATCACTGTGCTTGTTAATTTTCCGCCGGATGGCTGCCATGGGTGAGTGAGGTGAGGGCTCCACGGTGATGGCGATGGCGATGGCGATTGCGATGATGTGGTAAACGCGACAAAGCATCAGGGGCGGATAGGTTCATGTTCGTCCACAGCGAGGCACATGGCTGAAAAGCGGGGAGTCGCGGGTTGGGCAAGGGAGATCCCTTGCACCCGAGCCGTTTCCATCGAGCACCACCATTTCGGCCGGTCCAAGCAGCAATTGCAGCAGTATAGCACTATAACAGTAGTAGAAAGAAAAGCCAGGCAAGAACGGGAGCGAATTGCCGTTTCCACCGCCACGGCGCCACTGCACCAGGCCCGAACCGAACCGAAAGGGCAGGCTTGATCTCAGCTCAGCAGCCCCAGGCCGCTGCTGGGCTGTAGTAGGTGTCACGGCCTAGAGCGTCCGCAATTCTATGCGTAGCGTAGACATCATCGATGACCACTCTTGCGAACGGATTCACCGGCAGCTACAACAAGCCTACAACACGCATGCGTGCATGGCCACTACCCAGGGTGTCTTGCGAAGTCAAACGATGACTCGTGCAGATCCAGTTTTCACCACGCGGTATATGCGACTGCGAGCTCCTAGATGAAATTATATGATTCATCTCTTGCTCTTC